TGTATTTGTCCCCAGAGAGTTACAGCATTAAAAATATATCCCTAAACATATATTGCAAGTAATATTTTCTTCTCCTTCCATCCTGGAGTCTTCTGAAATTAAACACACCTGCCTGCCTGTCATGCAGGCCACCCTGCAATGTAGCAGCTTTGGAAGGCATAAGCCACAACCCTCCTTATTTATTCCTATGCATTTTTGCTCCTCTGAGTCACTTGCCTTCCCAATTTTAAATCCTAGATAATGCTTTCTTTCTGCCCTTTTATTCCTCCCTCACTGTTGCCTCTTTTTGCAAGAGCAGTCTTTTTTTCAGACTAGGTATGCAAACATCTGACTCAGTGGGACTTTGATTGCAGAGAAGGATGTTGCCTCAAAAAAACCCAAACAGGATGTTATAATCTGTTTTCATACTGTCAGAAGAGATATGGCTGATTCTGAATCAGTCAGCAAAAACTGACTTTGACCATCTCTGAGACCTTAAAATGTTCCTTGAGAAATACTGATTATTAAAAGAAAATATAAACTTCATGAGGCAGCAGATGTTTATGCACGGAAAAAAATCATGTAAGTCTGGAGATTTGTATAGCATGTTTTTTATATAATCATTAGCAACCATCTCCTGTACAGTAGGTTTCTTTGTATGGCAGTGTAAGTGAAATGTTGGAAAGCATATCTGATTTATTAGCCACCAGCTAATAAGTGTTGCTTTTTGCCCCTGTTTACCTGTGAGTAAAATTTGAAACAGTCATGGAAAATAATCTGAATTGTGTGTTAGTGACCAGATGAGATAGATAACCTTGTGTAAATAACAAATTAACAGGCCAGCAATACTGAGTGTAATACCTAGGAATGCAAGCTCTGCCACAAATGCTGCCCAATAAATGGGGCTTTGCAAGCAGAGTCATAGGAAAGAGTGCTACAGGCACCCCAAAAGGGCATCTAGTGCAGCCCCTCTGTCAGAAGGATCATCTTTCCTTAATCATGCCCTGAAGGTCATCATGTTCCAGTTTGTTGGAAAAATTTGCTCCCTGTTGTGGTCTACAGTTTGTTGCCCTCATGAAAAGCCTGGGAATTGCTATCCTAGGGTTTTTTTGTACAACATTGCAAATCTACTCTGTAGCTATGGCAAAAAGGTACAGGAAGAGGGACGGTCACTTGAATGCATCAGACATGACTCAAAGTTAGTGGAGAAAGAAGGGGGATGAGATTTGGATTTACTGCATCTAGTGACAGGAGAATACCTTTTTCCCCAATTCCCAAAGCTGGGCTGAGCAGTTGTCTGATGCCTGTTCATAACTTCATATACAATAACCAACATCTCAAGCTCTGCCTGCAGCCTAATGCAGACTTCCAATCTTTGGTGTGCTCAGTTGGCATGCTGCTTTTTTCTACACTGACAGAAAGGCAAATGATATCTGCCAGAGTCCCACTGTTGCTGGAGGTGGTGAAGCCATGGGGCATGAGTAGCTGGGCTGGTGTGTCTGGAAGGAAAATCTTCATCAGCTCAGGAGCATGGGGTGTGAGGTTGTCCAGAACAGTGATGTAATGTGGTCATGTACCCACAGGTGGATGGGGAAGAGGGAAGTAAATAAATCTAAAAGTACATAAATGCCCAGCACACACTGGCAGTGGGACACAACCTGTTTTCCCTCAGTTGGTAAGGTGGGTGGAGAGCTTTTGTATGGTGGAGTGGAGGGCAGGATTCTGACCACTGTGTTGCGCATGTGCTGTTCTTCTTTGGGGCACTGCCTTGGGGAGTAGCAACCTCCTGCCTCCTAATGCACATTATCCATAAGTGCTCGTAGCTAAACTCAAGGAGTTGTCCTCTCTGCACTGTGGTGGTGCCCACAGGTGCTCTCTGGATCGGGACTCTGTGGTGCTTTGGCGCTTAGGAGAACCCCTTGGGCAGAGGCAGTCGCATGCAGATGGTGCAAGAGACTGTGGTGCCTTCCGGGAATGCTGCTATCCAGCCTGCAGTACCTTGGGAGAGCACCTGGTCCTCCCTGTGACCTTCTTGGTGCCGATTGTTCCTTGTTAGAAGGCTCAGCTGGAATTGTGTCACGTGAAGAGACAAAGTTCATTCATGATCTCGGCTAATGCACTTTTGGGTAAAGATGGACACAGTGTGCGTGACGAGCAGAGATGGCGAGGACTGTGAGACTGGAAAGGACTGGTACTGAGAGTGAATCCTTCTACTGCTCTCTGAGTCAGACTCCTCAAGGCAAATGCGCTGAATTGCTTCACTCAGCTGTGTCCTGTACCACAGGCTGATTTCTGTTTGGGTGCGTGATGTGTGAGTGACTAACCACCATCCTCCATGAAGATCTTGTGCATTCCTGTGGAAAAGGCTGGAATCTGCAGTTCCCAGCTGAAGGGACAGTTAACTGCATTCCTTTGATGTGCATTACATCACCTCAGAATTGAGGGGGAGCATTGTTGTTGCTCCCCAGCTCCAAGGCTTTGTACACCACCAGGTACTCCAAGTAGTAGGTTCCTGGTTTCTGTCTCTCAGGTGGGCACTGCACACCTAATGGAAAAAATTATACTGGAAAGAATCAGTATGGAAATAAATGTATAGTCATTTAGTCAGAGTAGAACTGCTTAGTTTTCTCTTTCCCCTTTTATTGGGATTTTGAACACTTTACTGAAAATAGAATTTTGCATAAGTAATTTCTAGCTTTTTTTTCTTACAAAGTTTTTTTTTCCTCTTAGTTCTGCCTTCTCAGATGTTTTCTGATGTCCTTTCATCTTGGTGGTTGCCATACAATTGCTTGTGAATTAGAATGTATTAGAAAAATTATATGGACATGCTGTCTTTAGTATGTAAGAGGTCTTTATCCCTTGCAGAAGCGAAGTGACCTGTGATAGTTAATACATTTCTTTCAAAGACTCCAGGGAACAACAATCTATCAGCTTGTAAAATAGATAAATGAATTCATTTGACAAAGATCAAGCAAAAAGTCTTTGGGAGAGGGGACATGAAGCATGGTTTCTTACAAGCCTGGTTTGGTAATGGCTGTTTGGTAGACCAGCCACTGTCTCTGATGAGGCCAGTCTGAAGCATTCAAACGGATGCTTGATTTTGGCAGCTGCAGAGGTAATTTCTTGGAAGCTGGTGTTGTCTGTGTCAATTACTTTATCTTCTTATATTTCTATCCTTTGTTTGCTTTTGATCACTGTTCATTCTTTTTGGGGTGAAATTGCTTTGAGGGAGAGTTAATTTCATGATATGAAATGGTAGTGCTTCATCCAAAGAAGGGCTGAATTCTGAATTCTAAGGTCTGTAGTGTCTTTCATACCAAAAGTAGTACCAGGTCTCCAGTTGATGTGGATCACAGGGAAGCTTCAGAATTCCATTTGAGCTGGGTCATCGCAGACCTTTGTTGCATTTTACCTTTGCAACAAGCTGTCAGTGCAAAATACTTGTTTTTCAATACAAACGTGATGGGCTTGTGGCTGTTCAGACCTGTCAAACACTGATGGTTGTCTCAGAGACATCACCCAAGGACCTGCCCGCCCAGCAAGCTCACACTTGGTAGGTTTTGCACTCCTTGTACTTGGCTCAGTGAATCCAAGGGGAATCAGGAGAGCCTGAGGTTTCAGTGCATTGTTACACACCAGCTGCAGAACCCCATCAAGGAGGTACAGTAAAAATAAAAAGGGCCCCAGCAAGGGTTAATGTACTGGAACGACTGAAATGATGACTGTTGATGAATACTTTATGTAATTAGTATAATACTTTCTTCTGTTAATGAGCTGAAGCTGGGGTGGGGTGCAGCTGCTTGGGGGCAGGGAGCACAGAAGAAAGCACTGAGGGGGGATTTGAGACTGACAGCGCACTCAGCCTCTAATAATCTACTGGGCCATTTTTAATTCACGATAGTTTTTCAGAATATTTGATGTAGTCCTTTTTTTGTGCTTATTGAAAGTGCCCCTAATGTTTTAATTCCCACCCCAATGGAACAGAAAGTGAATAAACAAGGAAATGAATGGAGATGTATGAAATTATGATCTTAAACTTAACAAGCCTATTTGTTTTTTCAAGCTGCTGAATAAATCCTCTGTGATTTGTGTTGCAGAGGTCAATGTTCTGCTGTAGGAAATGACTGGTTACATGTCAGTATTCTCCAAGAGTTCATCTCAATTACTGGATTTGTCAAACATGACAAGCCTGAATGACTCTGTGGTGAAAATAGCACACAGTTTGACTATTAAAGTAATTGGAGCATTGACATTTAACCAAACTGCAAGAGAATTGCAGTAATAAGTCTGAGGAGCACTACCACAAGCAAAACAGAGACCAGTATTTTTATAAAAGAAAATATTTTATATTTTACCAGTTAAACTGGTGCTTTTTTGTGTTTTGATTAAGGTATATTTCAGTATATTTTTAATTTAAATCATACGATTAAAAGGAAATGGTAATTCCTTCATGCTACTTTTTTTGAAGAAGTACTAAGATTTGTATAATTGGAAACTCCATTAATTTGATGCACATTCAATTGCATTCAATTTTAATATTGGTTTCATTTTAATATTGTTATGAATAATTCATGTATGTATTTTTAATGTCCTCTTAAAGTACACACATTATAAAGTTAAAAATCTGTGTATGTATATACATGTATGTGGAGATCATCATGTGATGATCATCACAGAATTAGGTTATAAATGTGTTTATTACTTGATCTCCACTTGCTACTCTACCTTGCTAAAGAAGTATTTCTGGGCTTTCAAGCCTGAGGTGTGGATATTAAAACTCATTGCTTTAGTAAATGCAAAAGAGCTTTTCTAAAATAATTCGAAAGTCATTTACTTGTCTCCATCTGCAATGAGATTTTATTTTTTTTTAAAGATATTATTTCTGATGGTAAATTCTACGTATATAAACTTTTTCAATATAAAGGATTTTGAGAACAATACAACTGTCAGTCACTGTGGCTAATTTGGATTTATGCCTGTGGATCAGATGAGATTTTACAGTCACCAAAATTGTGTTTCAGACAATGGCTTAAACGACAGCCTCTTCCAGTGTCTGGAGTAGGGACTGAAGTAATGATGATTTATGACAGTAGTCTGAGGGGGCTCATCCTCAGGTGAGTTACCTGCATTTTGGCACATTAATTTTATCATATCTGAACTTGAAAATCTGTTCTCTCCTAATTACGGGAGCAATTCTTCATGTGGAAATTGGGACTCATCTGTTCCTGGTGAAGTAAATCAGACAAAATAATCCCGAAAGACAGGGTTGGGAGCATGATGCAACCAACAATATGTCTGAAGTACCTCAATTACATTAACTTATATTTTTTGTGGCGTACAGAGTATGATTTGCCACTTCTGTAGCCACATCTTAATTATTGTGCTATCACAGCAGCAGAGAGCAGTACTTATGGATTTAATATGTTACTTGCCTTGACTTGCTTAAGTCCCATCTCCAAAGAGCTGTTAAACATAATGCTTAAGTCTGTCTCTCTTGTGTAAAAGTATGTGTTTAAATCCATCTGGTTTCAATGAGACTCATACATATAGGTGAGTTTTTAGCTCAGCAGTAAAAATATAAATTGAATATATAAATTGAAAATATAAATTGAACTGCTTTACTGAATTTGAGGCTTGCATGATCCAAAGAATCACCTAGTCACAGCCTAAGTACAGATTTTGGGAAGTCTTTGTAAGGACAGACTTTCCTGTATTTCCCAACGGAAAAAACAAAGGAGAATTCAAGGAAATGCAGATGATGTTTGGCTATCTGTTTGCTGACCTTCATGTGAAAACTAGCTGTTTGTTAGGACCAGAACAAAATCTTTGGAAAAACAAAAGGTGCGGGTGAGAGTCGTAGTTTTGGTTTGTTTGTTTTCCCCCTGAATTACATCCTAGTGGTCAGGGCAGGCTCAGGGTTGGGGAGAGGAGACTTAGAGGCTGCTTCAGTTTTTTAGGTACATTCTATAAAACCAATCATCTCCTCTGTGTCCTCACGTTGCTCCTGAGTTTCCCCTCGTGTGTTAGAAATCAGATACACTTTCCCAAAGAGCAAGCTCCTGCTCCAGAGCTGAAATGGCACTCTCCTTACCTAATATATAATTCCATTTACTTGGAGTGTCATGGCATATTGGAGTTGTCCATCTTTTAGTGCTCTTGTCAGTTTCACCTGTAAATTAGCTTTGAAGATCCTAAGTCATACTGAAGTGTTCCTCACAGAAGTGCCTCAAGTGAAATGAAGTAAATAATTATAAAGGAATGGCAAGCTGTGCTCTTTTCTGGAGAGTCTAAAAGCAGAAACCTCACATTCATGCATGAAAGAAGAAACTTCCTTATTAAGCATTAAATAGTTTAGACAGTTTTAGCTGCAAAGGTTAATGTAGAGCCCAAATCAGCTATTTGGAACATCAGGAAGGGAGGAATAATTTTTTCTGTACTATACAGTGGAGAAACATCCATCAGTTACCTCCAGAAGAAACACCCGTCTAGGAAAAAGGCGTCATGATTCTGAATGAGCAGTAAAACAGGAAAATGGTTTGGAACAGTTTTTTTTTCAAAGCTTCTGGAGTAGAAAGAAATCAGGTAAAAACTGGGAGCAACGTTACCTTTCCGCTCTTGGGCAGGGGGATGAAGGCAGCGTGCACTCTGACATTAGGAAAGCAGCATAGCCTGTGTTAGCCATCCAGCCTGTTAACCATGTTTTGAACTTCCAGATGATGGAAACTATGCAGAAATGCCAGATACCAAACACAGTAAATCAGCATCCAGCAAAAGGCTGCTGCCAGAGATTTCCGAAGCAACAGGAGGACCTTGTAGCAATTTTACCTAACATGTAGACCTAAAGTCTGAACACAGTGAAATAATGTATGGTTCTGGATGGTAAGAATGAAAATGCTAGGGAGATTTTGCAGATGACTGCCAGGGAATAGCTGTCACTAGAGACATTTGAACAGGTGCCAGTTGTGTTAGGACTTTTGAAACAATCTGCATAAATGCCAGGTGGAAGAGCGCTCATTCCAAAATACCGAGTTTTTCTCTAGATTACTGGCCCTACAAGATGACAGTTTGTGAGGGCTCAGAATAGCAGCTCTAAAATGCAAGAGTGCAGTTACAAAGTGCACACAAAGTTCTTTCAGTCAGATTTCATTCTGATGGTTCTGCAAATTTGCCTAAGATCCAAAGCCGTCCACGTTGCTGCTTTACTGAGCAGTACTGTCTGTCCAAGAAGTTTCATCTGCTTGGTGAAATTGAGTTATAAAAAGTTTAATTCAAGAGATTTGTCAGTGATTGGGCCAACAAAAGAAAGCAAATCCCAATATACTTTAGCAAATCCTATTGTAGATGACTTACATGGAGCAGATGGGGAACTAGGCTGGGTTTTGCTCTGTCTACTGTGATTGAAGAGCTCCATTGATTCAGACTGAGGCAGCTTAAGAAGTTACTGCCATCTAGTTTGCCCTGCCTCTGTTGGAATTTCTTATCCTTGAGGTAAAAATAGCAAAAAGCAGTGTGCCTGCTCCCCAGCCACTGCAGCTCCCAGCTTGAGGGCAGTGTGATTCACCTTCAGGTTTTATTTGGTATGGAAGCAGCTGTAAGCTGAGGCGGCGGGGAACTTGGAGTCACTAACTCATCAGATTTAACTGTGGCAGCGAAGTGGTATGGGAATAGGATGGGAGGACCGGCGACCTCTTCAGTCACCACCGTTAAATCCAGTAGGAATTGCTTTGCAGAGAACTTAAAGTCCCGAATGGAGAAGTTGCAGTGAACCATTCCTTTCCTGCAGCATGGTTGACCAGTGCTTTGCTATCTTCAGGGAATGAAGGAGCCCTCTGTTAGCTGGTAACTGTAGTCGTCTTCTTATTGAGCTCCTTTAATGCATTTGTTAAGAAAACCTTGATGGTTAATTAGAAAGCTAATACTAACTATAAGTAGTAAATAAACAACAACAAATATGGAGCACGCTCATTTACCTACATTGTTTTAGTGTTTTCTAAGAGATAATTTCTTAGTTTTGTTCCTGTAACTGATTCGGGGCAAAAGTAAGGACTCTCATATGACAAATGACTAACCATGCAGCTGTAAAGGAGTTGTACAATTCAAAGGTGCTTCTGAAGTAATCTTTAAGAAACTGTCAAACTTGTCAAATGTGGTAAGCATGAATGCATATTTTTGTTCTGTAATTCTTCCCCTTTTTTTAGCAAATTGTGAACTAGAGATCTGATTATTGTTTTTGTTGCTTTGGGAGAGTATCTTTCAGATTTCCAGAGGACCTTCTGCATGGATCTAAAGTTTTGTATTTACAGTACAAGGTATTTTGTGATGCATCATGTTATTTTTACAGAAAAAAATAATCTGTAAGTCCATGAATCTCATCCTATTCATGTCTATACAAAAGTAAAGCATTTAAAATAATGCTTTTATTTTAGGGTTAATATAGGCTTGATGTAGAAAGGCATTTTGGCATTAGTATAGTGCTTAAGCACATGCTTAACTTTGAGTCCAGAAGCTGAAATGGAGGAGTAACCTGGGGCTTTATTCAGCACAACTTAGAAGCTTTCTCAAGGAGTAAAGGGCTTGATTTTCCTTTCTTCCCTGTGAGGAGACACACCCAAGATTCCTTTTCTAAGGATTGTTACTGTAGCACTCAGGGAGAAGCAGGGAAGTAGCAAAGGATGTTTCCTAGCACATTCTGATACACTGCTACCCTGAGACAGCATAACTTAATCATCGTATTTTTTCACTAAAATGATGTGGAAATACTTTAGGTTTACAGTATGGAAACTTTGAGACTTAGCTGAGTTCTGCTTTTGTATTTGGTATCCCACAGCACTTAGATCTGTGAGCTTGTCACCTTCACTCATAGCCAAAGACAGTGTTCACTTATATAAAACCTTACAAAGTCAGAGCTCTTTTTCGTATTCTGACTTATTATTAACTTCTTCTTAATAGCAGAACTCACAGCTTTCTTTGTTGTTATTTTTCTGTTAAGGGAAAAAAATAAAGTTGCTTTCATTTTTACATAAGTTCAGTTATTTAATCTGAGTGTGACACTCAGGCTTCAAAGAATCCTGTGCAGTGCATTTTTAATCTGTTATTTTTAATGAATTCTAGTCACTAAGAAATACTGTTATCTAGGTCAGATTTTTTGAATATTATTTTACTGTGGCTACACATCCTGCTGTCCTTTCTCTAAATGAGCTCCCCAATGAGGTCTTGCTGTTTCACTTTCTCACAGCTTTGTGGAGTAACTTTTCTTACTGTAAATGTAGGTTGTGCTTTGTTTTTCAATACAAATGTATTTTTAACTGAACCATCATCCACCCATCTAAGACTCAGTCTTAAACTTTCTTGGGGGACAATGGAAGAGGACATAAAATACTTTTAAATTTTATCATTGATATTTTGATCCTTCCAGTCTGGAAGGAATGGAAAAGAGATGACTGACCCAAAATTTATTACTTCATTTCAAAGGTGTTGAAATAACTGCTTGTCTGTTGGTCAGAGCAAAATGGCCTTGACCAGGAGGCAGAGCAAGACATCACTTGATGTCATGGAGAGGCTTTGAGATTTCTGAGCATTTCTCTTTCTGGACCTTTGTTGTAACATCTCTATCTTTACCCTAACTTACCTCCTAGTATGTGTCCCCCAGAGATTTCTCCATCCCTTGAAGTGTCTGTTAGCCGTGCCTACAGGAGGGGACATTGAGCAGTGGTCACCTTAGATCACCTAGATCAGTGACAGAGTAAAATTGCAGCAGATTTCCTTCAGCTGGCTATCCTGCCCTTTTCTGACATCATGTTTTCTTCAACATGTATGGATTGGGCACATACCTCTGTGCTCATTGGTAGAATATCACCATTGTTTCTTTATTTAGTTGAATCTTTCTTCACTCCTTATGGAATGATTACTTACATAAAGATATTTCCAGTTACATGTCCTAACAAAGCAGTTCATCTCTCAGGATTGTTTTCTTCATCAAAGAAATATTAAAGCTTATAATTGTGATGATTTTCCATGTGGAGTGTGAATTTCTGGCAGTGATGTCAGATCAGCTTATAGGTAGCTGAAAAGAAAAGCCACCTAATCTCAATGGGTAAGAAGAGAAAAGCAGAGG